GAAAAGATTACTCAGCAGAACATAAGCTAGTTCTGAGATTAGCGAATGAATCAGATGAGGTGCCTGAATTGGCTAGTCAACCAAATTTGAGCCAGGCACTTAGGCTTAGGAAAGTATTAAGTTTAGCAAAGGAAGATTTGACACTGGGTAAGCAGAATAAACAAACTGGCCAGGGGCACCATGCAGTTGTTAAGAGTAGGAATGTAAGCAGGGACTGTAACCAGGATAGACCAAAAAAAGACAGTTGATAGAAAGGACAGATATTGGAACTACATAATTACCTGGTTAAGCACAACATCCTACATAAGGTTGCCAAATAAAATCCAGGATGCTCAGTTAAATTTAAATTTTAAATGAACAATTAATATATTTTAAAATGATACGTATGTCTCAAAAATTGCATGAGACATACTTATATTAAAAACATATTAATTTGTTACACAAAATTGAAATTTAATTGGGCATCTTAATATTTTTATTTGCTAAATCTGACAACTCTAATCACACATGAAGTTAAAATAAAACTATATAGTTCATAGCAGGATAAGTTCTGCACTTAATGTTCATTGGATTAATTTTTTTAAATGGGCGCTCAGAATTTTTTTATTGACTGCCTAAATTCTGGAATGTTTGTCCTAATCTTTTCACAGTTTAGACAATTAGGAAACTTTCTTGGGTCTGAATATAAATAGAGTTCTTCAAACTTGATCATTAAGGATGGTATTCATTTAGACTTTAGTCACGAGGTGAAAATAAGAGTCTGGTGAGGCTAGAGAGGAATAAGTAAATTTATCTAACAGAAGCAATATTTTGTTAATATTAAATTGAAACATTTGAATTTGATAGTTAAAATAATTGAGAGCAATCTTTGATAGACTGGGTCAAAGTGCTTATTATACAGTACAGATTATACTACATAGTATACTTTTTTTATTATCTTTAGTTTTTGTTTGTTTGTTTGTTTTTATATGCCACTACACAAAAACCATACATAATGTGGTTTGTTGTTTTGTAATTTTTAAACAAATAGTGAATCTGTTAAATTTCTTAATAACAATGTGCATTGATCAAATTGTGGTACTGAGAGAAAAGCTCAGTCCAGTGGAAAATATCAAGTGACAGAATCCTTTAACATTTTAATATCTGTGGAAACACCACAATCTTTTTTTACTTGTTTTTTTGTGTGTAAAAAGAAACTTTTATTTTAAAAAACACTTTTATTTTTAAACTCATGATTTCTCATAAAACAAAATATTCTGCTCAGAGAACTGTTCTAATATCATTATATTAGCTATAATGTTGTAAAGTATAAACCATTTTAAATGTAATATTTGTATTTTGCAAATTTTAATTTTAAAATTGAATTACCTAAATATAATCACTTGCTCTTATCTCTTTTTATATATTAATCAAAATAGGAATTTTCCCCAATACTAATTCTTTTATAAAAATCAATTTTCTTCTCTCTTCAGAGTATTTTTCCTTTGGATTTCATTTATAATGACTACAATTTTATATAATAATAGGAAGAAAATATGCAGAGGTTTTTCATAATTTATACCTAGTAACTGTTGATTTACATTTTTCTGTCACATTAAAATATATTAAAAATCTAATATTCCAAAGAGTTTGTCTTTTGTGTCCTTTCAATATCATATTTATAGATCTTTGAAAAGAGGACACACCTTATATGTTGTAAATTACCACCTTATGTATTTTACACATGCATAAATTTTCAAACAGACTTTATTTAATGGTTCTTTATAAAATGATTTTAAAGGTTTATGGTACTATTTCAAGGCATATGAAATAAGCAACTGTGTTATTTCATCACAAAACCTAAAACAAAAGTCATTTTTATCATTGTTTAAACATTTGATAAATGCAACAGACCTGAACACCTATTTTTAAGAGTATTTTTGGGAAAAGGCCAGCAGTATTAGAGGTAATTTGCTCCTGTGCTATCAATCAGGAACCATCCTTGTTTAAATCCAGAGACTGCAAAAATAGTGATTACCTGACCTAGAGACCACACTAAAGGCCCATTTACTTTCTCGAGACTTTAAACACACAAATTTAGACAAATGATTTAATATCCCATCCATCTTTAAGAAGCCATCAAAAGCACTTTCAGAACCACTCTCCTTCATCTATGAAAAGCCGATATATTTAAACATATACTTCACTTTTGTAGACAATGGTGATATTATGGCAAAAGAGATATAAATTGATTGTAAAATGAAGGGTTTTTTCCTAGCTTATTTTGAATGAAGTCAATAAGGAGAAATTGAATTTTACTTTTCCATTATTCTGGTAAGTACCATTTTACCGCTTATAATTGAATTAGGAGAAAGAACATAAGGCGACAGTAAAACAAATAATACACCTGAAAGAGGTGAGCACACCAGGAACTCTCCCAAATTTCCAGTATATTGCTGTCAACAGCCTTTTCTACCCTCCTTCCTCCTTCACCTGGATATTTCCTTATTTTTTAAGACTCAGTGTTGACATTACTTCATCCAGGAAGTTTCCTAAAACTTTTAAGATTGGAGAGGGTCTATAACTATGACAATCATAATGCCTTGGTTTTTCACTCTATTACATATGACACATTATATTGATCACACCATATTATAATTGCCTGTCAACAAAGGTCAGCCTTTTCTCTTCAATGTCTCTTGCATAAACAGCACAGTGCTTATTTTACTGCAGCCATGTAATAATATTGGAAAAAAATGAATGATTATAAATAAGTCTTGCAGAATTCAATTGACTACCTGGACTGTCAAACATAGTTTTAAAAAAAATTCTGAATTGGAAATTAGTAAAATAGTCCTTAAAAAGAGGTTACAATGGGGGAAGAATACAATTTCAGAGACCATTATGAATTCTAGGACACAGCAGTTGGAAGTGAATTTCTGCCTCTTTTGTGCTCTTGCATATATTAGGTCAGTGGTGAGCTTATTCTACTAAGTTTCATGGTAGCTAAGCTTAATCCTGTGCAGTACTGAAGAAATCTTGTGACAACTCAGGACAAGTTTTACTTTTATAAAAAAAAAAAGATATTTTTCTTGTAAATTTCCAGGTTTCTTTTGTGCACCAAAATTACATGATTATGAAAAAAAAAGTATCTTGGTTGACAGGGCAGATAACTAAGCAGAAACTTAAAATATTGCCCTGAGAAATGTACAATTATATACGTAGGGAGTGTATTGGTTAGGAAAAGGCTGCTGTAACTGAAGGATCCGATAAAATATAGCATAAAGAACAAAACCATGTATTTCTATCTTCCACAACAATCCTGAAGTTAATGGTATATGTCCCTGGATGCAGTTCTATTCAACTGGGTCATTCAGGAAACTGGGATTCTTTGTAAGATATCAGCCTACCTGGGGCAATTTGTTTCATCCATATGCTCAATGCTGGGTTGCTGCAATGTCTGCTTTCCAGATTGAGGAGAAAAGGAACAAATAAGGAGAGCTATGTGCTACCTACCACGCACAATTCTATTGTGCCGAGCTCCCCAGCTATGACTTCAGGAAGAAAAAAGGAGAACAGATTTTGGAGGATGACTAAAAATTTCTACCATTTAAAGGGAAAACATATTAGCTCTTTCAGTAATAAGGAGAGAAATAACCAAATAGATTCAGGATGCACTTTACCTGGATTATTATTATAATACCCCTTTGACCCACTCATCATCATGCTACATATACATAATTTCACTGTTTAATACATCATACTTATATAACAGATTAGTTTTGAAAAACACTTAATGAATTAGAATTATGATAGAAATAGATGGCTAATTTTAGAAAAGGTTATGAAATTTAAAATAATCCATTCATTATTTTATAAAAAAATCATACATGTAATAACTGGAAAGATATGCCCCAAATGTTAATACTGATTGATTTTGGTGTTGAGATTATGAGAGCCATTTAGTTCTTTTGGTTGTTGTTTGTTTTTGTTTTTGTTTCAGTAACAGTATTTCCTAAATTGTCTATCATAAACATTAACTTATTTGTGATATAATTAAAAAACAACACCTATCTATATGAAGAAAAGATAGACAGGGATTCTGTAAACACCACAGGAGAAACTAAGTTTAAGTACATTTAATTTCAACCACCATTTGTCTACAACTAGTAAATTTTGTGGTCAGAAGTGTCCAGACATGCTTATGGCATCTTATAAGAATTTGTAAAAACCTAGATAAAAACAGTAGTAGTAATGACTTCTGGAGCTACCTCACTGATATGTGCTGTTATTATTAAAGCAAACACTTACTGTAACACAGTCCCATAAGGAATCTTATCACAAAGCTCATAACAGTACATAAATGTTTTATTCTACAAAAGCATTGAAACAAAATGTTGAAACTACTGTGAAATTCAAAATACAAGCCGTTATTTCTCGTCTAAATGGCTTAGTTGGTTAAATATTTTAATCATCCATTTTTTTGTCTGTATGAGGCTTGAATTCTTGTTTGTGATCAGCACCAAGTTAAACAAGGAAGTAACTATTTAATTGCTGGACATTTTTAATATTCTCCATATTATTGTTATAAATAGCCTTTTAAATTATCCTGGTCTAGTTATTTTTCTTTCCTATGCCAAAATAAAAAGATTGTAACAAATGTTATTTGTCATTAGTATCAATATTCTGCTTTTTTAATTGCAAAATGATGATCATATGCCCATAAACAGTAAGTACAGCAATTAATTTCAGGCAATTTATAACTTAAGTAAAGTAAACTCCATTTGTTTGCTGCCCTCTTCTCTTGCTGGAGCAGGAAACCACTTTCTCTAGCCTACAGATACAACCAGAAAGTTTGTTTATACATTACTTCTTGACAACGTATTCCCTGAAAGTCTATCTAGTGTGTCAAGTGCTCCAGCAATCTCTAAGCAACAACGTAACTGCTAGGTTTACTTATCACACTTTCGTGAATTGAAGTGAGAAGGAAACAATGCACTTTTAGATAATTTATTACTCACCAACACAGCAGGCATCCTGAACTTCGCACTGGTTCTCCATGCTCCCCAAGTCCTGTGGAGTTGATATGGAGGCAGGTGAATGCTGAGCACAGAGTGGATTTGTGTCTGAGCTGAGGAACACTAAGCATAGGAGACCACTAGTCTTACGAGCTGCCCTCAAAGCTGCCTAATTTTTGTCCTTGAAGAAGATATTATTTTATTGTTCTGGTCAGGAAATTAATCTGATCTCTGACCCAAAGTGAGAAGCTCTATCTTTCCAGGCCATTGGCTATAAAAACATCCTCAAAAAGATAGTATAGGATGGCTAGAAGAGTTACAATTATTTCTCAACAGTGTACATGCTGTTGTAGGTTTAGCCATGGATCACCCCCTACTAGGATTGGCCTCTGGGAGATACCAATATAGAGAGTCCAAATAATACAACAATGCCAGTATAGACACTAGTAACCACTGATTGCTTTAAAGAATATAGTTCATTTACTGAAACCTGCTGAAGTGTAACCAAGATGGCAATTTTGAGAGTGCAGGTATTTCTCTCATGATGCCTTCATTCTGTTCTTGAAAAATGTTAAAACTGGTATTCATATAAGGAAACCTGAGCTGCAACTGGAAATTCAAATTCCTACCTAGTCACAGTTTTGGATCTGAGCTTTAACAACAAAATTTCCTCAAGTGATCATGTGAAACAGTAAGTGTATGTAAGATATAAGAAATATAAAATAGGACTGGACAGTTTCTGAAAATACTCAGAAAGCATTTTCTTAAAATGTACAAAGCCAGAGTGTGAGACTGCCTCAATGAAACTGCAACATCCCTGTTGATCCAGTTTTAAAGTCCAGGAGTTAAAGAGGAGATCTCTGTATTTTGATCTTTGGCTTGGTCGCTTGCATTAGAATGGAAAGAAAGGCCAAGAAGTTGGTGGCAACATCGTCATAATCAAGGAACCTACAGAGATTGTGCTGGCCAAATGTGTCTTGTGCTTGCACTAAACTCAGTTTAAAGTGGGCATTTATTTAATATTGTAAATACTCAGTATAGCATCTGCATAAGAAATTAGCAAGTGGAAAATGCTGAAATATTTTTATTTTTGCCTTTAATATCAAAATCTTAAAATGTCACCATTGCACTTTAAAATTATAAAATTGTACTAATGCACCATAGTATTTGAATACATTTAGATTTATTGCCATATCTCAAATGTTCATTCTATGCTGGTGATATTTTGCTTCAGTCTTGACTTTAGCTGGATAGAAACTTTAACCCTTGCCCATCCAGTATTTGGCCAATGTGATTTAACTGTACTTTTAAACAGTTTTTGCTGAAGGATTATAACCATTTTAGAACGGAATTACAATATAGGAAGTTAAAGTTAAAGTTATGGCTAACATGGACTATCTTAGTCTTCAAGAGAATTTTCCCCTCTTCTAACTTGACATTTTTGTCTTCAGTTTGGAAAACACCTCTTAAACTAGCCTTTCTGCAAGGCCCTTGGTCTGAAACTCCGATCTCCTCTGTAATAAGAAATCTCCTCTCTGGAAGATCCTTGTAGGATCTGTGCAATGGCCCAAATATGGGCTATACAATCTCAAGAAACATTCAACACTTATGATGTCTGAACCTGAGTTCACAGTTACCGGGGTGAGAGGGGAGTAGAAATGGTATAAGAAAAATGAACTCCTATGCCCATCCCATGAGCCAGAGAAATACATTTATTTTAATTCAAGTATCCCATTCAATATTCCCATCAGTAGGAGCTATAGGCCTATTGATTCTTTACTATTGATCTATTAAAACAATAACTTATTTAAATAATAACTTTTCTTGCAAGGACAAACATCAGTTTTTAAGAGACAGTGAAATGTTAGCTCACAGTAACCAAATTTACTCCCTTAATAAGATACCTTTCTTGTCTTTGAAACCAATGTGTCCTCACTGAAAGTTTATTTCCTATTCTTCCCATAGCCCTGAAGAATCATAAAAGAGGTAGACAAGACTTTAATATCACTTTTATTGTGTCCTAGGGACTCACTCTATTCTCTTCTGTTCTTTTATGCCAGAGCCTTCCTTTGAAAGAAAGGAAGGGAATGTTGGTGATTATCAGAATGCTCTATCTACCACTGATTTACGCATACATGGTTAAATACTTGCACAGTCATTATTAGACTGCATAGTATAGAGGCATGCAGGGTGAAAAAAAGTTAGGAAAAATAAAAAATGAAAATTCATACATCTCTTGATAGTTCAGATAATTTTATCCTTTTTGTAGGTTTCCTCGTGTAGGTGGGAGGACTGCAACTTAATAATTCCCTTTTAGAACTGAGATGATCACATTGCGGATAACCTACTGAAGCAGATTTCTGTGGACTATGAGCACCCAGAGAGTCCCCAACTAATTAAATGAATAGCAAAGATGCCTAATGAAGGAGGAGAAGGATTATAAAAGGTGAAATTCCAAATGCTTTCTGTGGTCAACTAGAGGGAATAGGCAACCAGCCAGAGTAGGCAGCTCTTCTATGGAGTTGTGGGAGCTCAATTTTCTTAGTTCTCCAGCCTCAGCTACAAAAATATTTTTGTGCTCCAGGAGGATTAGGTTGTCTGGAGATAGGCCTATTTGTTTCCAGATGTTTCATTCACTTATATGTTCAACAAATTATTACTGAGTTTAATGTCTGGGAGTATAGTACATAACAAAACACTTTAAGTCTGGCCATTATCAAACTAAAAAACAAAAAACATTTAGTAGAAAACATTCTACTAAAAAACAAAAAACAAACTCAAGAAAAACCAATAGTAATTCAGATTATAAATGCTGTGGAGAAAATTGAAGCAGAGTAGAAAGAAAGGGAGAGCTAGGTGGAGCAAATGCATTGTCATTTTAAATAGAATGATATTGGAGAAGAGACTCAAGGAAGTAAGGAGACAAGGTATGTAGGTATCTGGGATAAAAAAGTTTCAGGCAGAGGAAATAGCATGTTATGGACTGCAAAGCTTTTTTGTCTTTGTTTTTTATATGTCCTATAATGTGCAATTTTATTTCATATTATACAATGTTTACATATTGTTATAACTCTTAAGAACATGATTTTTTCTTTACCAGTTGTATACAGTGCTTAAATCTTTCCTTTTAACATGGAGAAAGAGTGGAAATCCACATTGAATACTATCCTGAGAGTTAAAATGAGCCGCAAGTGTGCCAATTAGAAGGAAATAAAAATCTTAAAAGAGCACTGTGGCTTACAAACCTTTTGCTTTAGTGAATTCAAGCATACAGGATCCATAGTCTCATGTTGTAGTAAAATTCAGCGAACTAAATTAGTGTTGGGCAGAATTCTAAATTGTACAATATTGAATAAAAGACCATAGTGGGACCTTTTGTTTACAGTAGCACCAGGCCACACCTGACTGTGTTTCCAACATTAATCTTCCAGTTGAATAAACTGGAAGATTAAATTTTGAGTGCCAACAAAATTCGTATGTTGAAACCCTAGTCCTCAATGTGATGGTATTTGGAAGTGGAGCCTCTGAAAGGTAATTAGAATCAAATGAGGTTATGAGTGGGACCCCCATGATGGGATTAGCAACTTTATAAGAAGAGATAAAGACCAAAGCCCTCTTTTTTCCTGCCGTGTAAGAATACAGCAAGAAGGCCACCATCTGCAACCTAACCTGCACCTTACTGCACCTTGATCTTGGACCTCTCAGCCTCCAGAACTGTGGGAAACAAACATTTGTTTCTTAAGCCACCTGTTCTATGTTATTCTGTTCTAGCAGCCTGAACTGACTAAAACACCACAAAAACCAGCACAAGACTTAGGCAAGCGTGAGGTATTAAACTGACACTAAAAAGGCAGTGTGACTGGAGAGGAGTGAGGAGAAGAAGTTAGAAGAAGATGAAAAATTAGAGAAATAATGAGGCATAAGAATCTTCTGTAGGCCATTGTACAGACTTTGTCCTTTAAGCTATTATAAGGTTTAGGGCGGAGTAGTAAAGTAATCTTATTTATGTTGTACTTTTGTGGAAAGTCTCTATCTCATTTCTATAAAGTGTAATTTATCTGATATAGCTGCTCCAACCTTCTTGCTTGCTACAGATTGGGGAAATGTCCAGGGGAGGCCCAACACAGCGTGCGCTGACCCAACTTTAGCCAATAAAGCCTTATAAAGCCAATCAGAGTACACATTGCATGGAGAAAGGCCACTGGAAGGAGGAATGCCCCAAACGTCTCTGAAAGAGACTAAGTGGGCTGCCACGTCCTGGTCCATCCTTTCTGGTTGCACACATAAAAGAAGATGACTGAAGGGCTCCAGGGGTTCCTCAGAGCACCCTGGAAATTACTCCTGAGGAGCCTTGGCTGGCCCTGACCACAGCAGGTAAAAAGGTTGACATTTCAGTCAACACAGGGGCCACCTACTCAGTCTTGAACACCCAACAAGGCATAACAACCAAAGATAAATGTAAGATAACGGCAGTGGAACAAAAGGCACAGGAGTGCAATTTTGTATAGCCCCTTGAATGTGATTTGGAAGGAAGAAATTTATCTCACTCTTTCTTATATGTCCCAGAATGCCCAATTCCTCTAATAAGAAGAGATTTACTATATAAATTGGGAGCTACAATTTATCTCAGAGACAAAAACCTTACCACTGAAATATCTAAGACACACTTCCATTCTGTAGCCCTAGTACCTCCACTCTCTGCCAGGAATAATGGCCTGATTAACCTTTAGGGGATTAATCCCGCAATGTGGGCAAGTAACACCATGGGCAGAGGCAGGAGGTCACCACCAGGCAAGCTGTGACCTGGCTACAATCATCCAAATAAAAAGCAATACCCTTTTAAAAAATAAAAAGCAAGGAAACCCCAGCAGCATTGATCCTATGATGGATAGCCCACCCAAACAAGGGCTTCTTAGACACAGTCAGTACCCTTGCAACACTCCTATTTGGCCCATAAAAAAACTAAATGGAAATATCAGCTAGTTCTGGATCCCTGATCAGTAAATGAAGCTACTGAGGAGAGTCACACAGTGGTGCCCAACCATTACACCTTAC